TTATGTGCATTATCTATAAAAATGCTCAACATTCCTAAACATCTTCCTTGTTTTTCCTTCCTTTTCCTCATCTTCTGTTCTCCATCTCTTTTTATTCACTATCTCTTTCTTCCTATACCCAATTCTCCTTACTTTCCTAGGAAATTAGAATAAACTCATAATTAAATGTATGGCTCAGAATGGATACCCCCTACCTCATCCCACTACAACTACTCCTCAGCAAGACTCTTCAGAACCTCGATGATCCCTAGTTAACAACTGCTACTCCATAGACTTCTGTATTTCCCTTTATGTAAGCTTACAATTAAAATTACACACACAATTAGGGCAGGAAATTATTAAGGAATTCCAAAATAGAGATTTAAAAAAAAATGTTTTTTTTGCTTGTTTTCTCTATATGTGTTTGTTTAGGTTTTTGTCGTAGAGCCTGTGGGCTAGCCAGAGAAAGACAAAGAAAGGCAAAGTAAGAAATCATCCCCTGGGAGGATGGCCATGCCACAATTCTTCTCCAATCTCCTCTCAGGATTTTGGGCATACATGTGCCTGCCATAATTTTCAAGCTACTGGGTCTGGGACCACAAATCATGGTGGGCCATGTGGGATTCAGTGCCTTAACCTCAACATTACCCACTGGACCCCATAAATAGAAAGTTCTTATGTGGCATATAATGTTTCTGTCTATATTTTTCAGTAAAATGTATTTTATAACAGAAGTCAAATTTGAAAACTTATACTAAGAAAATAATCTCTTTCAACAGTACTACGGTAGAATTTCTCATCATTTTTTTTTCACAGATTTTTCTAATCCCCTAGGGCAAAACACTTAAACCAGTTTTTAGCCTTCGGGTGACTGCCACATTTAACTCTGAACTACACACTTGTAATTAACAATTTGTTTTGCTGCTTTCTATTATGTAAAGCATTATAGGTTCACAAGAAAAGTTTCTTTAATGAAGGATCAGATCTACCATGTGACGTGGGATGACTCTGGCCTATTGATTAAGGGAACTGAATTCTACATGGGAATCCCAGCCCCAGGGGCTGGCTGGCTCTCTCTCTCTCTCTCTCTCTGGCAGGCGCAAACATCCTCCTGGGTGCACACACCTTCTGGTCGAAAAAAAAAGAACTACCATATGACCATTTGTATCTACTCTGTTACAGGGACAACTAAGAAAAACAATCAAGGAGTACAACCATTAAAACAACTGTAGTAAGATTTTTACATTATACTGCTTATTGCTTTGACAAAACAGAGATTGCCTCAATCTCTTCTACCACACCACACAGACTGCTACGGAATCTTGAACAAATGCACACGCACACACATGATAAACCAGGAGTCAAAAAAAAACACTATGAAGTAAGCTAAAACTTAGCTAACAATGGTCATTCAAATACATACGTAATTTGAAAACACTTGGGACAATAGGCAGTGGACTTTTCCATGATAAATCCCAAGAATGCAATCCAACTATTTCTACCACTTTTGATAATATTATACTTCATCTTTAAGGCTCAGAATAGGCAAGATCAATAACTACCACTGAAAACTAAAAAATACTTTAAGACAATGTATAACCAGTTTAAAGTCTTATCAATAACAATTCTCAACATCTACTTACAATGTCTGATAACTAACTTTCCTGGGGAAGATTATTATTCTAAGTTGCATGTTCACGTCAACAAAACAAACAGTAAAAACTGAGAAGTTTTAAAAGGACAATTAGACAAAACAAATTTAACCAAAGCCAGAATACCAACTGTAGAGTGCAGAAATAAAGAAGTAAATGTCTAGCCAGAGGCATATTTCCTTTCTGACAAATACCCTGTCCTTTCTCTGCCTTTATTACTGAAAATTCCTTTTGCTCACTCATAATTGCTGTTATAAAAAAAATCCAAACTTACTGCGCAATAGTACTTCTTTTTGGTCCTCTTACAGGCCAAAGCCCTTTACAAATCCAAGGTAAACCAACCAATAGTTCTTATTTATCTCAAAGGTTATCTGATTAATCAATCCCCTAAGAAAAAAGGGATTTAGACAACTCCTTGGGAATACATTAAAAGAAAATGATCCCACATAAACCAAGTCAGGTAAGCAGGAGAAACACAGAAACAAGAAATGTTCCACTCTTCATCAGAAATGCAAAAATTCTATCTAATAGTTCATCTATACCATCTTCCTTCTGCCTTGACAAACTTACCATAGCCATCATGTCTAAACGAAGAAGGGTGTTCTCCCAAAATGGCTTGTCTCTGGCGACCCTTTCCTCTATCTGACACAAAAGTAGAAACATGGTTTTAACAATTTTGACCCAAATACTTAACAGTTCTCACATGGGAAACATCCATTCAAAACATCCATTACAGTTCATAAAAGAAATGTGATTCCTGGTTAACTTTAAACATCCATTCGTATCCAATTTAAATACAAACATCAAAAGTTAAAAAAAATAATAATTCTATCTAACAAATTCCACTTGACTTGAAAATATCTTTTTGGCAAATGCCAAATACAATCACACTTTCAAATTTAAGGGGAGAATGGATACCTTTCAGAAAATGCATGTACATGATACTAGCGTTTGACACCGTACAGAAGTTTTAAACCAATACATGTCTTTAAAACAAGCTTTAAGTGCAGTACTTTTGAAAGACAGTACCTGAATCATACTATTAGCTTCAACAGCAACACATTTTCAAAGTGGGCTTCTTTCAAGAAGTTTCAGCATAAGCCAACAACAACCTGTATTACATGGTTTCACAATCAGTAAACACAGAGTATTTTATATGTATATACACATATTTACACCTACTGACTTGAGAGCTGAAAATGTGCACATCACTGGCTCATATTGAATCAGATAGGTCATTCACTATAGACCTTAACACCAGACACAACTATGAGCAACCCAAAGTTTAAATATGCCAAGATAAAGCTAACCAAGGGGGCTACATTATTGGATGAAAGTACTACAATACTCTAAAGGATAATTTTTATTCTAGCTATTTTTTCAGAGAAGGCATGCCAATTTCCCCACCAAATCTAATTCGAGACATCAATAAAAAAATTACTTGCAGGTTTCTAAAATAGAACTTCCTATGTTGGCTAGTAAGTTTTAAAAATCATTGTGTAATTCTTTCAGACAGCTTTCTGATCAAAGTAGGACACCCAGTAAGATTTTTTTAAATATGTATCTTACGATTCCAATCTTTGAAAATTCCAAGAAGCTCTTGAAAATTCCTTAGTCATCAAACAAATGAAGTCTATGGGAGACGAGAAATACTTTAATTTTCACTTCAGTCTAAAGAAATGTAGTTTGAATTACCTATTGCAAGTTATAGCATTGAAAGGGATTAGGAGTCGGCAGGCGGTATGGTGGTTAAGGGTGCTGGACTCCCATATGGCTGACGGTGGTTCGAGACTCAGACCTGGAGGCTTGCTTCACTTTCCCTCTTACTCTCACTCTGTCCCTTTCTGGTCAAATTAAAAAATAAATAAAGCAAGCTAAATAAAATAATTCTTTAAAACAAAAAAAAAAAAAAGGAAAGGGATTAAAGAGGTCATCTAGTTCTGATTTTCATGTAAAAATTCTCTTGACATCATCTTTATCAAATGGGATTATCTAGCCTTTGCCTACCCAAAACTGGTAACAAGGTACTTACTACCTTCCCTTCCATGTTCAGATAGTCCTACATTGTGAGACAATTTTTATGTTACATAGAAATTGATTGTCTACTCTTACTCTATTCCATTTGGGGCCTCACAGATTTATCAGTCTTCATCTGAAAACTCTTCCAAATGCTGAACAAGTTAATATGACCTTCCCCCATTTCCCCAAAGTAATTTATTTTCTAGTCTAAATATTCAGTTCCTTTCATTACATGACTTTCAGCATTCTCTCATCAAGTCTCACTCCTCTTGTATCAATCCAGTTCACTAATTCATTCTGTAACTATTCGTCTACTTAAGCATATGCCACCGAACACTAAATACAATTCCTTATCTAATGTAGGAATCTTAAAACAGAAACCACCATAATGTCTTGTCTTCATAACTCAGTTTTACTGAAATAGTTAATAGTGTGCTTATTTTATTGGGAAAAGAATTGGGCCATAATCAGGATTCCAACTTAACCATTAACATGCTGTATAATCACAGAAACTCAACATCTTCATTAATAAAATGGAGCAGAATGGATGATCTCCAAGTTATTTTTCAGCCACACAGTCTCATTATTAACAATATGCTTTATCTGAAGCATTCGCTATCTAATATAAGGTTACATAAAAAAGTCAAGCATTGAATATATCAGTCTCTAGATAGTTAGTAAGCTTTCATATTTTCATTTGATAATCTGATGAAAGTTATAGACTTTTTCCTCCAAAAGATGTACTTATATACAAGTTTTGTTTAACATTTCTGGGGAGGTTCCCTGGAGTCCAGGCTAAGGATTCTTTGCACTAAAATGTAATTAGGGAAGGGGCCAGCAGGTGGTTTAAGGGCACTGGACTCCCACATGGCTGACCACGATTTGAGTCCTGGACTTGGCAGCTTGCTCTCTCACTTTCCATTTCTCCCTCTGTCTCTCTCTGGCCAAATTAAATAATAATAATAACAACAAATAAAATAAATAACTTTTAAAAAAGGCTATGCTTTTGGGACCAGCAGATGGTGTAAGGTCGTAAGGTCACGTTGCTGGACTCTCACATAGTCAACAACAGCTGAAGTCCTTGACCTGGTAGCTTAAAATTCACACTGGGCATGTGTGCATGCATGGCCGAGATCCCGAGAGGAGAATGGAGGAGAAGGAACTGTGGTGTGGCCATCCTCCCACCCCACGGGGTGGTGATTTCTTGCTTTCTGTCTCTTTGGCGAGTACAAACAACCTATAGCAAAAAATCTCTCTTAAAAAAAAAATTAGGTTATATTTTTAAAAGGCTTCTATTTTTAATTTGGTAAAAAGAAGTTATATGAAAGTATTTGGGAATAGCAGCTAAAAAGTTTTATCTATCAACCTGTGTGTAAGTGACGATTACTACAGAAATAAAAATGTCAACTGCCAGTGTTGCCAAAAACCTGTCTGTAAAGAATTAGAAAACAATTGTTTCACTTGAAGGCACAATTACACTTGGTTTACTTCTAATTGTATTTCACTATTTAAATATCCAGTTACATTACACATTTCTAAACTGCACTGACTAGAATTCTAATGAAATATTATTCTTTTTTTTTTTTTGGAGAGATTTTTGCTATAGGGCACGTGCGCTCGCCAGACAGACAGAGAGAGACAAGAGACAGAAAGAAAGCGAGAAATCGCCCCCCATGGGGGATGGTCACGCCGCAATCCCTTCTTCTCCATGCTCCTCTTGGGATCTTGGGCACGCACGCACACGCGCCCGGCGTGAGTTTTAAGCCACCGGGTCCGGGACGCGAACTGCGGTCAACTACATGGGAGTCCAGTGACATAGCCATTACGCTAACTGCTGGTTCCCATGAAATATTATTCTAAAGCTGGCTTTGTGTAAACTTTAGAGCTCTTTTAAAAACCATGTAAACACCATTAAAATAAAAGCATGTAAAATGTTTTAAGATATTAAGAAAAATGCAACCAAAACTCAGTATTTCAAATAAGCTAAAAATAATAATAACTCACTACAAATTGATGGAAGTGAGAGATTTCTCATCAGCCACTTATTCTATTGTTTGAGTGCTAAGGCTTTGTTTTCCAATACTGGATCAACTGAACCAAGATTAGGCCAAGTAGATTTCTGTTGGTGAAAAATGTGGGGTTCTAGCCAAAATTGCATTGTAAAACAAACACATAAAGATGATTTCCTGGAAATTGAGAGTTAAAGGAGCCAATCATCTAAAAGTTCTCAATATTTGAACATGCAAAGGATCATTACATCTTTTATTTATTCTTTTGCTACAGTACATGCACTATAGCATACTCACTGTCCAAGATATTCTGGATGCCATGGAATTTGTTTCTAGCTACTGGTTTTTACAAGCATATTCATATTGAATTTTTAATCCGTGTTTCAAACTCTAATATTGTAGTTTAGATGTAGCCAATACTGCAGCCCCCTTGTTTTTACAAGATCCACATTGTAATTTGTATATTCCAGAATTGCCACACAGTTAGTTGAACAATTTTATCAGTCAAACCTATGCTCATGAAATCTATTGGTGAAAATGCATCTCAAATGAATTGCTCTTACTTTCAGATTTATCAAGTTTAAATATATTCTACCTTGAACAGACATGTTACTTCTACTATATTTTAAAGTCATAATTTCTAGTTACACAAATCAACATAAGTGATAACTTTAAATTGTTACAAAAAGTGACAACTTATAAACAGCCACTTTACAGAAATCAAACCACACAGAAAAATGTATTTTACACATAATGCATCTTTTCATTGTATTAGAATTCTGTTCAATGTCCACAATTGAGAAAAACAAAAGGAAACAAGTGCAGTAAGTGTGCACCCTTTAATCCTTTTACCTTTAATAACTGTGTGGATTGGTTGGTCATCATTAATTCCCAAAACCTGTAGATAAATTGGCCCTGGTATCTGCCAATTAACAGTTTAAATCTAAGCTGTAAACAGTTACAGTATTGGGCATTTCGATTTACAACATTGTAGATAAACTAGTTTCCCTTAGAGAAAAGTCTAAAATTTTATAATTAAAACTTTAAGGGGAAATCAGACCAATATACACATACAACTTGAATAAATGGGCACAGTCTATCATGGTGTTCTTCCCATGCAAGTCTGAAGTACTGTTAAGTGTCCTTCTTTAAAAACTTGGGGTGATGGTGCATGCAGTATGCAGTCAAGGTGAATTGCAAGTCTGAGTTTTTCAGAGGGCTTTTTGCTGATGCCGATGTTGTGCATGATGAGGTGTAGAGTCAGCCTGTTGGAGTCCTCTATCCTTCTTAATGCCTCGTCCAGCTTGGGGGAAAAGTCCTTTCCATAGAGAAGCAGTGTGCAAGTCTGCAGTTTGTAAGGAATATTCTGAATCAGTTTCCTCTCCTCCAAAGAGAGAGAGCTGCTTGGAGAAATGCAAGTCCTTGAACTGCGGGCGTGCCTGTATGTGAGGGCTCCTTGTTGAACTAAATATAAATAGCTCAGTACATACCAGTAGGGGGCACTAATGTTCAAGGTTATTTTCCAGCATTTCATGGCCTTTTGCAACAAAAATATTCACCAACAAGATTTTCATTTGAATTAACTAGCTCGTCTTAAGAAAAAGGAATCTAATTGCATGTAAAAATTTGTCAGCAGATGTAAGTTCATTCTAAAATACCTACCTTGTCTTCCCAAATATGGTTTAGTGTAGTCCCAACTGTCATTGTCATTCCTAATAACATTTAGGCGAGTTGGCTGTTGAGATTGAAAATAAAGTTCAGTTCAAATTGCATCATCAAAGCACAAGTATATCTGTGGTAAAAGAGTTGAAAAAAATATTTACCCTTGCATATTCAATTTTTAGTGTACAACATCCAGCATATATATCTGCTCCATTGAGTGCTGCTTTAGCTTTCTGGGCACAAAGAACTGATTCAAACATAAGCTCTATTAAGGAAATTTGGTTTAACAAAGGTATGTGATATTTACTCATTATTTGTCTCCAAAGAAAAGGGCTAAAAATAATCAGAAATAACTTTTTATTTCTAGAAATGTTACACACACACACTCTAGATGAATTTCAACAGGATAACTCGTTTTTAAGATCAAGGGTACCAAGAAAACCTAATACAACAAAACTACACAGAAATCCTTCTTTGCCATTTTAAGTTACTTCTTAAATTGGCGGGGAGGCATAGAGTGTGGCCCCTCCCATCCATTCCCTAGAAAAGGACAACTACCAACCGTGAAACAGAAAATATTTTTATTAAAGTAGGAAAAACATACAACTAACTCAAATAATCCTAAACGGTATTTTTAGGTATTTTTGAGAAGTCAGGGATTTATAATAGTTTTTTAATTTTTAATTTTTTTTAATTACTAAAGTCCAGGGACCAGCAGTTGGCATAACGGCTATGTCACTGGACTCCCACAGAGTCGACCAAGGTTCAATTCCCAGACCCAGTGGCTTAAATTCACGCTGGGAGCATTTGCGTGCATGCCCAAGATCCTGAGAAGAAAATGGAGAAGAAAAGATTGGCCATCCCCCCTGGAGGGTGATTTATTGCTTTCTGTTTCTGTCTCTGTCTGTCTTTCTGGTGAGTGCACACCCCCTAGAGCAAAAATCTCTCAAAAAAAAAAAAAAAAAATTACTGGGGGGCCGGCAGGTGGCATGGTGGTTAAGGATGCTGGACTCCCACATGGCTGACTTCAGTTCGAGTCCTGGATCCTCTCTCTCTTGCTCTCTCACTCCATCCCTCTCTAGTTAAAATAAATAAAAAATAAAACATTAAAATAAATAAATAAGTTAAATAAAATAATTCTTTTAAAAAATTACTAACGTCCATAAATTTTTTCAAAAAAAAATCAAATCATAAGGGTAAAGAGATAAAAAAACAAAAACCCCTCATTAAAAACAAGCACTATTAAGTAAACAGTTTTCTGTACGGCCAGCCCCATTACCCAGTGGTTAAGGGGAGCAGATCTCACACAACTGACTGCAATCTGAATGAATCCCAGCCCTGGTGGCTTACAAAACATGCTGAGTGCATGTACATGCACACCCAAAATCACGACAGGATGAAGAATTGGAGAAAAAAATCACAGTGTGATCATGAACCATAGAAGGTGTTTTCTTCCTCCAGCCCTCTCTCTGACCAGTGTATGTGCTCACTGGCAATTTTTAAAAATGAATTTAAAAATTTTATGCAATGGAAAATGTGTATTATGAAAAAATTATGCATGGCTTTCAAAAATTTTTGTACCAAAATAAACTCATACTTTAATTCCATTTTTCCATAAACTTTTTGAAGTCCCCTTGTAAACCATGACCATTTAAAAGGGTCAATAAGGAAAGGTAAGGGGCTAGCCCCTGGTCTAGTGGTTAAGAGAGTTAGATGGGCAACTCTGGTTCAAGTACCAGCCACAACGGTTGGAAAAACACGCTGAGCACATGTGCCTGTGTGCCCACCCAAAATTTCAACATAATGAAGAAAGGGAAAAGGGATTGTGGCACAACCATACATCCTCGGAGAGTGTTTTCTCCCTCTTTCCTTCTCTGTGTCTGCATCTCTCTTAGTCTCTCTCCAGTGAGCACACATGCCCTCCAGCAATTAAAGAAGAAAAAAAAAAAAAGGGAACGAAAAAATCCCATTGGCTCAAGTTTAGTACTTCTAAAACTATTAGGAAAGAGCCAGAAGGTCATTTGGGATAAATTTCAAAAAGGTCCAAGTGCATGTACAGCCAAATAGTTTTATTTTTTCATTATAAGATGAAAGATTGAACTGTTTTATGGTACCATGTTATTCTTATAATCAGTAAAGTTTTCTGAGGGTACGGAAGTTTCATTTTAAAATCATTTTAGAATTGTGGGAGGAAAAATTAACCACAACTTGTCTAGAAATGCTTAAGGACGAAAAAAATAAGAACCATATGAATTATGCAGATTCATACACATCAATAAAAATTTACAAATAAAGGATATTCAACCATTGCTTGTATCCCATTTCTCTTGAATATAACAATACGTTGCACTTTTCCAACAGGATTGCATACAGTATATAAAACATCCTATGAAGGAAAAAAGATTTTGTCACTTTACATTTAGAAAGACATTATAGGTCTATTCCATTTTGCTCTACCTAAAACTAGTAACTGTCCAAGAGTCTAAGATGTCATTATTATTATTAAATAAAGTGTTATACTTTAATAAATCTAAACTTATTTCCTTCCAATACAACATACCTGCTTTACAGAAGTTTTAATAAAACATTTGAGAAACACTGTTACTTATCTCTTAATCCCTAAATTTTATGTTAACAGGTGACTAAAATAATCTCTAACGATATATAATAAATCAAAACTGAAATCAATTAATTTTTTTTTTTTTTTTTCTAAATGTGACTCTGAAATATTTCATTATTATAGTCACTTAAACTATAATAACAAAACTTAGTGGGGCCAGCAGTTGGCGTAATGGCTATGTCGCTGGACTCCCATGTAGTCGACTGTGGCTCAAGTCCCAGATCTGGTGGCTTAAACTCATGCCAGGAGCATGTGCGCAGTGCGTGTCCAAGATCCCAAGAGGAGAGTGGAGAAGAGACTGCGGCGTGGCCATCCCCCCGGGGGGGTGATTTCTCGCTTTCTGTCTCTATGTCTCTCTCTGTCTGTCTGGCAAGCGCATGCGCCCTATAGCGAAAACCTCTCCAAAAAAAGAAAAAGAAAAAAAATTAAGATTAATTTAAATAATCAACAGAACTTTTCAGGCCAACTCCACAGTTCAGCAGTTCAAGGAGTCAGATCCTACATGATTGACCTGGCCCTGGAGGCTTGAAAATTATATCAGGAGTGTGTGTACATATGCCCAAAATCATGATGGGAAAGAAGAATGAAGGAAAAAGAAATCTTGCAGGACCAAATCCCACTGGGGGAGGGGGAGGATGCTTTATTTCCTCTTTTTCCCTCTCTGGTGATCACACGTGCTCTCTGTCAATAAAAAAATATTTCAAATATCCAGACAGCAATGAAGAAAACTGTTTAGTCACTCTGGAGGCAAACTGCAAAATCTCTTAGAACATAGTTGCCATACTAAAATACATACCACTGTAATTGGATAAAGAGGATTCTGAATTGATAACAGAAGAACTTTGTTGCCTCCTGATGGATCATCAGTATTTCCTGGCCGAGTGATCCTTTTGCTTGTAGAATAGTTGAAAAAAGCCTGTTGCCCAGCAATGTACACTGGTTCATCTGCAGCAAATGTCACACATTCTTTGGCACTATCAATGTTTTCAAATTCCACTAAAGCTTGCCTTTTAAATGGCATCATCATCACATAGCTGAAAAGGGAGATAAGGAAAGAATACTCAAATATAACAAATTCAGTTAACAATATTTGTTCTCAATCAAGTAAAAGCAGACTTTAATGTATCAAATAACACAGATCAGTATTCTTCATTGCCTATACTCAATGCAAGTCAATTCTTCAACCATCTCCCAAAATTGTGCTACACTAGGTAGACTGTACGCAGGTGTAAGCCTCTCTCCAAGTGACTGAGAGTTTACCTACCTCCTGCTCTCCTTAAGCACAATTCTCTAATCAGTCACTAATGACACCACCCTGTTTATTTTTCAAGCTGCTACTCCCAAGAAGTATTAGAAATACCAAATAAGGGGCCAGTAGGTGACATGGTAGTTGAGGGCACCGGTCTCTGACATGGCCAACTGTGGTTTGAGTCCCAGACCTGGCACCTGTCTATCTTTCTCTCTCTCTCTGGTCAAATTTAAAAAGCCAGAGAGATAAATTCAATGACAGTTGAGAGACAGAACCTCTACTTGAAACAGAAGAAACTACTACCTCTCTTGAATTTCCCAAGTGCGCACACTAATAATTAAGAACTGACTATACTTTTATCTTATTGAAAAAAAAAAAAAAGAGAATCAAAAGATAAACAGAAGCAACCACAGACTAACCACAGTTGAAAAAGGAGGAGAGAAAGGAGGAAAGGACAATGGGAAGGACAAAAGAGGAAGAGAACAGTGAAGCGAGTATCCCAGAATCACAGGCACTACTGAGCTATTCAAGTAGACCTAGGACATGGACCACAGCCTTTCCATACAGCCATCAGCAATGGTGCAGCAGCACTTCTACTGCTTGCGTGATTGCAGCTGGACCGAAAAAATATTCTTTTAAGAATTACTTATTTTAGGGACCAGCAGTTAGCGTAACGGCTATGTCACTGGACTCCCATGTAGTCAACTGTGGTCTGAGTCCCGGACCCAGTGGCTTAAACTCACGCCGGGCATGTGTGCGTGTGTGCCCAAGATCCTGAGAGGAGAATGGAGAAGGGATTGTGAGGTGGCCATCCCCCTGGGGGGTGATTTCTCGCTTTCTGTGTCTCTGTCTTTCTGGTGAGCACACACACCCTATAGCAAAAAAAACCCAAAAACAAAACAAAAAAAAAACTCTCAAAAGAAAAAAAAGAATTACTTATTTTATTTATTGTAATAATTATTTCTTTAATTTGGCATAGGGCACGTGTGCTTACCAAAAAGAAAAAGAAGAAAAGTGAGAAAGCAAGCCACCAGGTCCAGGATTTGAATCACAGTTAGCCATATAGAAGTCTAGCACCTTAACCACTGGCCCCTGGCCAGCAGGTGGCATGGTGGTTAAGGTGCTGAACACTCCCACATAGTTGACTACGGTTCAAGTCCCAGACCTGGTGACTGACTTGCTTTCTCACTTTCCACTCTCTCTCTCTCTCTCTCAGTGTATCTCTCTGGTCAAATTAAAATAAACTAATGAAGGGAACCAGCAGGTGGCATGGCGATTAAGACGCTGGACACTCCCACATGATTCGAATCTGGAACCTGGCAGCTTGCTTTCTCACTTTCTCTCCTCCCCCATGTGTCTCTCCCTGGTCAAATTAAAATAAAATGAATGAATAAATAAAATTTTAAAAAATAAACAAATGAATAAATAAAATAGAATAAAATTTTTAGATAAATAAACAAACAAAAATAATCCGTGAGAAAATAATCAACTGACAATATGCTGACATGGTGGCCTACTGGCAGGAAGTTGAGTGACCTATTTTTCATAGCATACTTTGGGGGGGCCATATTTTAATACACAAAATGAAGAGTAGAAAAACAAAGAAAAGAATAAAAGTGAAAAACCACAAACAGATGGATCACAACAGGACGTACAACATGTCCTGTATTCATAGGAAGCTTAAAAATATTTTAAGGGACCAGTAGATCATATAATGGTTATGCCGCTAGATTCCCACGTAGTTGAACATGGTTGGAGTCCCAGATCCAGCAGCTTAAAACTCACGCCAGGTGCATGGCAAAATCTCAAGATGAGACCAAGGAAAAGGTATTGTGGCATGGCCATCCCTCCTTGCTTTCTGTTTCTCTGGTGAACGCACGCACCCTGTAGGAAAAATCTCTCCTAAAAAGAAATTTTTTTTAATACAATTAACATGGTTTCTGTAATAGCAGAAAGTGAGAGAACTAACATCAAGTCAGGTTCTCAGTGATATTACTTCTCAGGTATTCAGGACCTACTGCTACACTTTAGAAACTGACAAATAGTACAGTATCAGTAAGACAAAGACCACACTACAGACTGGCAAAGTATTCTTTTAAATCTCACCTTCCTCATTTGTAAAACTTCGAGAATGGGTATCAAGGGTAAATCAACTGTATACCAAGAGCTTAGCAAGAGTTCCTGACCCAGTAGGTACTCAGTAATACTGCATTTTGTATAGATCTTGCCTCAATCATCTTTACATCCTCAAAAACAAACAAACAAAGTCTGGCACACAGCAGGTATTCAATCAGTATTTGTGATTTTAGGAGGTTTGTTAGCTTTCCCACCCATTCAAAATTAAAGTAAATACGGCAACAAAAGGCCTGGTTTTAAAGAATTACCAACCCAGGAGAGAAAACAGTTCCTTTAGAAACAGGGTCCTCAACAAGATTCTAGTAGAGTTTTACATATGAAAAACACAACAACCTTGGAATCAGGTCCAGGCTAGAGAAATAAATGTTTTCCTCTTATAACTAAGGCCAGATGGTAGCACAGTAATAATGCAACTAGACCCACATGGGAAGGCACTGGGGTCTCTCTGTACATGCCAGGGGCACTAGCACACAAGCCTGTGATCCAGGCTAGCTAAGGTGGATTGCAGCATGGAGGCAGTGGAGGTGACTCATTCATTCTCTTTTTCATGAAGTAAATAAATAAATGTTTTTAAAAAACTGTCACAGTAAAACTGCCTTCTATAACTAAAATAAGAAATGAGCAATATGCAAACTTAAAAGTGAAAAAGATAACCCAGAAAAGTAGCATCACATAAAGAAAGATAAATTTTAAAATGTGACAGACACTACACTAACATGTGCTTAAATTGTTAGGTGCACAATTTTTTGGTAATTTTATTTTGTCAGATGGCCAGAGAGAGATGAGAGACAGAAAGAGAGTGCGGGAGAGAGACGGAAAGGGGTAAAGTGAGAAATCCCCAGAGGGGGACAGCCATGTAGCATTCTCCTCCATTTTCTTGGGATTTGGGGCACATGAAAGCCCAGTGTTTATTTTCAAGCCACAGGTCCAAACTATAAAGTTGGACATGTGGGATCCAGCCCCTTAACCACCATGCTACACACTGACTCAAATTAAAAAAAAAAAAAAGACTAGTCATGATCTGCATTAAGAACTCAAGCAACACACACACCTGAGCATATGTCTATATTAATCTACTTACTTTTAATTGCCAATTAATTCCTAAATATTACAAAATAAACAAACAAACCAAAAAAACAACAGTTACCTAAAATTGAAGATAAAAGGTATAATAAACTCATTGGTTTAAAGTTGCATTTCAGAAGGAATCGTGGACCCATTTGAAAATCAGATGAAAAATGCACATAATTTTCATTCGGTCTTGCCGGGGAATGATGGGTGATCACAGAGCCACAGAAACACACCCATGAACCACCCCAAGAAGGTTAAAAATAACAGACACTTAAAAGGTTCCAAAGAAATAGTAGAGGCAAACTTAATATATACCATGCTAAGCATCAAGCAAGGCTTATTCTACCGCACTGTTTACAATTGGCATGAAGCCCCGATTATCCTTACCATATTGTCCCAAATTTTTCCAGAGCTTCCACAAGGTCTGCTTCCACCACAGATTCACAGAGTCCTCGGACATGGACAACAGGGGAGACAGAAACTTTATGATGACTTCCACCTGCCTCCTAGCAAAAAAGAAAATAATTTCCAGTTAAAACATTAAAAGTCTAAACTGCACCTTTTAGTAAATTCAACTCTGCATCACTAAGCAACCATCAAAAATAATAATAATAAAAATAAAATATAATTTACAAATGAGCAAGAAGTCCTGAAAATAAAGTGATCAATTTACTGTGTGGTTTGAAATTTTTAGTTTCTCAAAAACTAGCTTTCCATCTCAGTAAGAAGTATAAAAAAGTTGGGGCCAGCAGGTGGTGTGGTGGTTGGACTCCGACATGGCCAACCATTGTTCAAATCCCAGACCTGGTAGCTGGCATTCTCACTTCCCTCTCTTTCTGATGAGCATGCATGCCTAGAGTAAATTTTTAAAATAACCAACAAATTTAAATAATTCTTTTTAAAAAAGTATATAAAAGCTAGTAACTTTTTCTCTCAGAGTACATACTAATCAGAGAGAGAGAAACACAAAGAGCAAGAGGGACAGGGAGAAAGTACACCCTAATGAAGCGTGGTCACAGGGCAATTCCTTCCTTCTCCATGTCTCCATACTGTACATATTTTAGACACATACACACACAAGCCCCACATGCTTTTCAAGCCACCAGGGCAAAGATTCAAACCAGGTGGCCATGTGGGATCTAGATTCTTTAACCACTAGGCTATAAAGCCAGCTCAGTAACGACTTATTTGAAACGTTAAGAGATATCTAAAACAATTTTAGCAGATTCATAGGACATGCTACTATTACATAATTTTTCTTTTTAGAGAGATTTTTGCTATAGGGCAAGTGCTCTCACCAGAGAGAGACAGAAAGCAAGAAATCACTCCCCGGGGGGGATAGCCTCGCCTCAATCCCTTCTCCTCCATTCTCCTCTCGGGATTTTGGACACACGTGTATATGTACCCAGCATGAGTCCAGGACTCAAACCACGGTCACATGAGAGTTCAGTAATATAACCATTACACCATCTGCTGGTCCCCTATTAATTTTTAATACTCATAATTTCATAGTTTTAACTCCATAAAATCAAATTTCTCACGTAGTCCAAAATAATAAAATAATTCCAATCAAAAAAATTTTTAATATTAAGATTATATTATTTCTCCTATAATGTAATATTACATTTTATTAGTAGTAGTACTTTTGTTATTACTCAATTGGTTATATAATCCCACTGTAGCTTGAAGTTACTTAGCAGTACATGTGACAAGCTAAATTTATGCAAGGTACCATATTTGTTAATGAAGGAATACTCAAAAATACCAAGTAAGCCCTCTTGGGTTTCTCTGGAGTATTGCCTATCTTTCGAATATGCCCAGAAGAATACTTCGAACTCTAAGTATGTAAGTATGTAGTCTTAAAAGTTTATGTTACTATTATTTCTTTCATGGGCATGACAAAGGGAGAAAGCCAAAGCCAATCACACGCAAATAGGTCTCACAGTGCAATCCACCCTACCACAACTCTGCAACCAGCCAGGATGCTGAGTATGTACAATGTGTGTACAGGCCAACCAGGGAATCAAATCTATGCTCTTCCATATGGATCCAGCTTTGCTTGAGCAATGCATTACTGCTAAACCACCAAGCAGGATCCTTAAAGTTTATCTTTTAATATATAACATCTGTAAGAATCACACTGAAAATGCAAATATGAGCTCTTCAAAAGTTCGTGGAAAATGTGTACTTTGAAAACTCACGGATGGAGGATTTCAAAAATGTTTTGCACCAAAATAAACTCACACCTTAATTCCATTTTGTAATGAGCTTTCCTAAGGGCCTTCATAGCTCTTTCACATATTCAAGTTCTATTAATACAAAGATCTAGACGTACAAATGTTGTTGGGGACTGCTTTTGCATCACGACTTAAACCATTTCCATGTACAATCCATATATTTACAAAAGGAAATTCATTAGATATTTTTTTCTCTTACATACTAAACTGAAAGCACTAATAATTTACTATTAAAAGTAACCATTTTTAGAAAATGAAGTTCCTTTAAGGCTATTCTAGAAGACTCACTAGTTGCTCTTTCAAGACTTTTTCCTTTATAATGGAAATTATAAAGAAAATGTAACAAATGGTGCATCCTACCAATAAAGAAATTATGCCAGGGTTTAAAGAAAGAACTTCTCCCTATTTTGTTTTTGCCATCAAGCACATGCACTTGCCAGAGAACAGAACGGACAGAGACAGAAAGTGAGAAATCACCCCCTAGAGGGGGATGGCCACACCTCAATCCCTTCTCCTTCATTCTCCTCTTGGGATTTTGGGTACACACGTGCCCATGCACACAGGCAGAGCAATTTTTTTTTCAAGCCACTGGGTCTGGGATTTAAACCACAGTTGGTCATGTGGGATGCAGCGCCTTAACCACCATACTACCTGCTGGTCTCATGGGGCCACTCATACACTATTGGCTAATAAGACAAATAAATTTAGTGCTTCTTAAACAGTAATTCTATCCTTGGTATTTCATTTTGATTGTTTATGTTCAGTCTTTTCCATGGTTAAACAGATATTAATTACATGCCACTAAGTTTGAAAAGAATCACTCTGAGTATACCCTACATAAACCAACACTCTGTTAAGCAATGTAGCAAATGAGACTCTACCTAGGTGAAACTCAACAATCAATCCCCCCCCCGGGGGGGGTGACTTCTCGCTTTCTGTCACTCTGTCTCTGTCTTTCTGGCGAGCACACGCGCCCTATAGCAAAAACCTCTCCCCCCCCAAAAAAAAAGAAAGAAAGAAAGAAAAGAAAAGTATGCCTGCATTGCAATTACTTTATACGCCGGGCATGTGTGCGTGCGTGCCCAAGATCCCGAGAGGAGAATGGAGGAGAAGGGATTGCAGCGTGGCCATCACCCTGGGGGGATGACTTCTCGCTTTCTGTCTCTCTGTCTCTGTCTTTCTGGCGAGCACACGCGCCCTATAGCAAAAACCTCTCCCCCCCCCAAAAAAAGAAACTCAACAATCAAATGTGAATTATCACCATTAATTTTTAAATACTGAGTCAACAGGAAAGTCATGATACATTTTTGCATAGACATACACATCATGGGAACCAGCAGGTAATATGATGGCTACGTTGCTGGACTCCCATGTAGTCGGCTATGGTTCAAGTCCTGGACCTGGTGGCTTAAACCCATGCCAGGCGTGTGTGCGTGTGTGCCCAAGATCTCGAGAGGAGAAGGGATTGTGGCATGGCCATCCCCCCCAGGGGGTGATTTCTAGCTTTCTGTCTGTCTTTCTGATTAGCGCATGCCCTACAGCAAAAACCTAAAAAAAAAAAAAAACATGTTATGACTTTCTCAATGACTTCATATAACTGGAGGACAATAAAGTAGGAAGAGAGCTCTAAGTAATACCTAAATACTTAATTAGAGAACAGAATTAAAGCATAAATAATGACTTTCACTCTCGAAATAATCAGAGAATAAATAAACTACAAGATATAATTAAGCCAGTCATTTAAGTTGATTCTTAGAAATCAGCTGGCAAAGGGAGACCAGCAGTTGGCGTAATGGCTATGTTGGACTCCCATGTAGCCAACTACAGTTCAAGTCTCAGATCCGGTGGCTTAAACTTGGGTGTATGTGCATGCATACCTAAGACCCCAAGGGGAGAATGGAGGAGAAGAGATTGTGGAGCGGCCATACCCCGAGGGTGATTTCTCGCTTTCTGCCTCTCTGTCTGGCGAGTGCACGCGCCCTATAGCAAAAACCTCTCTCTCAAAAAAATAAAAAAAGAAATCAGCTGACAAAGGTAAAATAAAAGAGTAACAGAAAACTACACTGGACTGGACTGGACTCTGTATTACCAGGACCAGGTGGCAGCACACAAGTTATGTAACACACTGCAAGGCTGACCTCAAATGGGAAGACTTCCAATTCCTATCCAGAGACCTCCCTGAACATGCCAGGCATGCACCATGGCCAGGAGTACAAGTCTATCTCTGTCATTCATGGGAGAAATAAATAAACTTTAAAAAATGATTCACTGGGACCAGCAGTTAGAGTAATGGCTATGTCGCTGGACTCCCATGTAGTTGACCGCGGTTTGAATCCCGGACCCGGAGGCTTTAACTCACTCTGGGTGCATGTGCGTACGTGCCCAAGATCCGGAGAGGAGAATGGAGAAAGGATTGCGGCGTGGCCACCCTCCGGGGGTGGGTGGGTG